TGTCTCTGTGTGTGGAGTGAATGAAGTGAAGTGTAGTGTATCTGGGGAAGCTTCTGACCCGTTCCTTTGAAAAGCTGCCAAAAATACTTAAAATGCTTGAGAAATTAGGTCCCGCCCATAAAGCTTTGTTTCAAATTCGCGGCTCTAAACTACACCCCAAATCAATCCCAGCTTGAATAGAAACAAGTAGGTTCCCATTGCAAATCAAATCCACCAAAGTCATTAACATGAAGTGACCATTCAGGATTTTGACGAAAGGTTTCTGATGTTCTTTATATTACATACAACTGTCAAAATCCATGATTTATGACTACAATTTAAACTCTCAGACTCATTATACGAATTCACAATATGGTATATACATTACATGAGTATTTTAAAAGAAAACATGACTTTAAAAAACCTCTACTGATTACCCTTAGACTCAAACACAAATAATTCACATCTGACCACTGAAATGACAAAAACTCACATTCACATCCAAATGCTTGACAGTAAAGGGACTTAAGGGGAGTGGATAAACAAAACCCAGGCTCTTCTTGTACCTATAAAAATGTGCTTTGACTGCTGTGCCACAAGAGAGTCTCACACGGACACAACCCCGGCACAATCATTTAAAACATGAAATAAATAAACTTCCATTACAAATGATTTTTGCACAAATTGTGGAGCGTTACATAAAGTGGGGAAAAAGATACAAGAGTGCATTGGATACAGAGTGTAGGGTTCAGGGAATGTGTTATGTACAGAGTGCAGGGTTCAGGAATGTGTTATGTACAGAGTGCAGGGTTCAGGAATGTGTTATGTACAGAGTGCAGGGTTCAGGAATGTGATGTACAGAGTGCAGGGTTCAGGAATGTGTTATGTACAGAGTGCAGGGTTCAGGAATGTGTTATGTACAGAGTGCAGGGTTCAGGAATGTGTTATGTACAGAGTGCAGGGTTCAGGAATGTGTTATGTACAGAGTGCAGGGTTCAGGAATGTTTTATGTACAGAGTGCAGGTTCAGGAAATGTTTATGTAGAGTGCAGGGTTCAGGAATGTGTTATGTACAGAGTGCAGGGTTCAGGAATGTTTTATGTACAGAGTGCAGGGTTCAGGAATGTGTTATGTACAGAGTGCAGGGTTCAGGAATGTGTTATGTACAGAGTGCAGGGTTCAGGAATGTGTTATGTACAGAGTGCAGGGTTCAGGAATGTGTTATGTACAGAGTGCAGGGTTCAGGAATGTGTTATGTACAGAGTGCAGGGTTCAGGAATGTGTTATGTACAGAGTGCAGGGTTCAGGAATGTGTTATGTACAGAGTGCAGGGTTCAGGAATGTGAAATGTACAGAGTGCAGGGTTCAGGAATGTGTATGTACAGAGTGCAGGGTTCAGGAATGTGTAATGTACAGAGTGCAGGGTTCAGGAATGTGAAATGTACAGAGTGCAGGGTTCAGGAATGTGTTTATGTACAGAGTGCAGGGTCCAGGAATGTGTTATGTACAGAGTGCAGGGTTCAGGAATGTGTTATGTACAGAGTGCAGGGTTCAGGAATGTTTTGTACAGAGTGCAGGGTTCAGGAATGTGTTATGTACAGAGTGCAGGGTTCAGGAATGTGTTATGTACAGAGTGCAGGGTTCAGGAATGTGTTATGTACAGAGTGCAGGGTTCAGGAATGTGTAATGCACAGCGTGCAGGGTCCAGGAATGTGAAATGTACAGAGTGCAGGGTTCAGGAATGTGTTATGTACAGAGTGCAGGGTTCAGGAATGTGTTATGTACAGAGTGCAGGTTTCAGGAATGTGAAATGTACAGAGTGCAGGGTTCAGGAATGTGTAATGTACAGAGTGCAGGGTTCAGGAATGTGTAATGCACAGCGTGCAGGGTCCAGGAATGTACAGAGTGCAGGGTTCAGGAATGTGTTATGTACAGAGTGCAGGGTTCAGGAATGTGAAACAAAGGGTTCAGGAATGTGTGAAATGTACAGAGTGCAGGGTTCAGGAATGTTAATTACAGAGTGCAGGGTTCAGGAATGTGTAATGTACAAAGTGCAGGGTAGGCTCCCAGGAATATGTTATGTACAGAGTGCAGGGTTCAGGAAAATGTGTTATGTACAGCATGCCAACAAATTTTTTCCCCTAGTACAGCAATGGGCAAACTACGGCCCGCGGGCCGTATACGGCCCGGCGGACCTTTTAATAATACGGCCCGCGGAGCTAGGCTCCCGCTAGGCTCCTCTCACAGTCCGCCCTGAAGACCGGTGTGTAGCATGAAAATCTGTCCTATGAGGATCTGTCCCCCTCGACGTATGTGCGCATGTGCCGGAGATCGCCGATCGGCTGCTGCTAATGCCTGAAACTGGCACATGCGCAGATACGTCGAGGGGGACAGATCCTCATAGGAGACAGATTTTCATGCTACACCGGAACGGCGAGAGGAACGCGCGGAGCAAAGGTAAGTGAATTGACACAGGGGGGACTTAATATGGGGGATGAATTACTATAGGGGGGATGAATTACTATATGGGGGATGAATTACTATATGGGGGGAATTAATTACTATGGGGATGAATTACTATAGGGGGGATGAATTACTATATGGGGGATGAATTACTATATGGGGGATGAATTACTATATGGGGGATGAATTTACTATATGGGGGATGAATTACTATATGGGGGATGAATTACTATATGGGGGATGAATTACTATGGGGGATGAATTACTATATGGGGGATGAATTACTATAGGGGGGATGAATTACTATAGGGGGGATGAATTATATGGGGGATGAATTACTATATGGGGGATGAATTACTATATGGGGGATGAATTACTATGGGGGGATGAATTACTATATGGGGGATGAATTACTATATGGGGGATGAATTACTATATGGGGGATGAATTACTATGGGGGATGAATTACTATATGGGGGATGAATTACTATATGGGGGATGAATTACTATGAATGGGGGATGAATTACTATGGGGGATGAATTACTATGGGGGATGAATTACTATATGGGGGATGAATTACTATGGGGGATGAATTACTATGGGGGATGAATTACTATGGGGGATGAATTACTATATGGGGGATGAATTACTATTGGGGGATGAATTACTATGGGGGATGAATTACTATATGGGGGATTAATTACTATGCTTACTATGGGGGAATATTACTATACTTACTATGGATGACACATACACATCATTCATCTACTCTTGGTCCGGCCCCCGGGTCCAATATATGAAGCCATTGCGGCCCTCAAGTCAAAAAGTTTGCCCACCCCCTGCCCTAGTATGTAGTGGGACTTTTAAGGCAACACACCAAAGTAAAAATATGTCATCATTTTTATTACATATGGTTAAAAAACATTGGATCGTCACAAAAGAACACATCGGGCTAAAAACACCATATATAAGGCAGCTGAATAGGCGATGCAAGCTTGATGTGGAAATGACTGAACCTCCAGTACCCCATCTATTCTCCTACTATTAACCCACCATATTTGAATCCACTCCAGAGTCAAAGGAGTTATTAATATTAATAAACTTTATTGATCATATTTGGTCCGGTTCCTGATTCATTGAAGTGTAGCCCACTTATCTGGTCATCCCTGATGGAAACCTACATTTGGTATCCCTTACAGAACACTAAGGCCACTAATGATCAGATCAGCTGCACTGGGAAGTATCTGATCTCAGATCCTTCTATCCTTGTGCGGCAAGATGCATCCAGAGGTGATGGTCGTTGGTATACTATGTGTTGTTGGCAACAGAGGATAGAGATTATTACAGGATGTTCCTTGCCAAAGGTTACTGGAGCGCATTCAGGTAGCACACACTTTAGTTGATCAGGGCAGTTGCCCCTTTAGCAAAGTGCAGTCTTTAATCCAGGTTTGTTCTGAATTTGCTTTGTCTGCTAAATCTCACGGGCGTTAAGAGTCACTCCTTACTGACCACAATACATATATACTGTATATATATTGCGGTTAGCAAGTGGTTTACTGGGGTTAAAATGACATTGCAGATGAGTGCCGTCGATCTTAGAATCACCGCACACTTCACTCATTTGGGCAGTCACGGGGCCAAAACCAGAGTGTGGAGCCACAGTGTGGCGGTGGAGGCAGCAGCAATGGGAGGCCATACAGCCCCTATGACAAAATGGAACCCACCAGCAGTGTGAGGAGACCTGAAAGTGGCACATGGCAGAGTGTGGCGATGGAGACAGAAGCAATGGGAGGCCGTACAGGGACCCATGACACACTCTGGACCTGGCAGCAGCATGAGGAGGCGGTACAGGGGCCCATGACAGGTTTACGGGCCTGGCAGCAGCATGAGGAGTCGGTACGGGGGCCCCATGGCAGATTACGGGCCTGGCAGCAGCAATGGTGAGTGGCCGTACAGGGACCCATGACACACTCTGGGACCTGGCAGCAGCATGAGGAGTCGCGTACAGGGGCCCATGGCAGATTACGGGCCTGGCAGCAGCAATGGGAGCGGCCATACAGCACCCTATGACAAAATGGAACCTGGCAGCAGTGTGAGGAGACCTGAAAGTGGCACATGGCAGAGTGTGGCGATGGAGACAGCAGCAATGGGAGGGCCATACAGGGACCATGACACACTCTGGACCTGGGCAGCAGCATGAGGAGGCGGTACAGGGGCCCATGACAGATTACGGGGCCTGGAGCAGCATGAGGAGTCGGTACGGGGGCCCATAGCAGATTACGGGCCTGGCAGCAGCAATGGGGGCCCGTAATCTGCCAAGCAACCCTATGACAAAATGGAACCCACCAGCAGTGTGAGGAGACCTGAAAGTGGCACATGGCAGAGTGTGGCGATGGAGCAGCAGCTATGGGAGGCCGTACAGGGACCCATGACACACTCTGGACCTGGCAGCAGCATGAGGAGGTGGTACGGGGGTCCCCATGACAGATTACGGGCCTGGCAGCAGCAATGGGAGGCCCGTACAGGGACCCATGACACACTCTGGACCTGGCAGCAGCATGAGGAGGCGGTACAGGGGCCCATGACAGATTACAGGCCTGGCAGCAGCATGAGGAGTCGGTACGGGGGCCATGGCAGATTACGGGCCTGGCAGCAGACAAAAGGGAACCCACCAGCAGTGTGAGGAGATCTGAAAGTTGGACATGGCAGGAGTTTGGCGATGGAGACCAGCAATGGGAGGCCGTACAGGGGACCCATGACACAATCTGACCTGGCTGCAGCTCCCTATGAGGCGGTACAGGGGCCCATGACATGGAACGGGCTGGCAGCAGTGTGAGGAGATCTGGTAGGGGCCCATGGCAGATTACGGGCCTGGAGCAGCAGCAATGGGAGGCCGTACAGGGACCCATGACAAAATGGAAACCCACCAGCAGTGTGAGGAGACCTGAAAGTGGCACATGGCAGAGTGTGGCGATGGAGACAGCAGCAATGGGAGGCCGTACAGGGACCCATGACACACTCTGGACCTGGCAGCAGCATGAGGAGGCGGTTACAGGGGCCCATGACAGATTACGGGCCTGCAGCAGCAATGGGACGGGCAGCAGCAATGGGATCTGCAATACAGCCCCTATGACAAAATGGAACCCACCAGCAGTGTGAGGAGACCTGAAAGTGGCACATGGCAGAGTGTGGCGATGGAGACAGCAGCAATGGGAGGCCGTTACAGGGACCCATGACACACTCTGGACCTGGCAGCAGCATGAGGAGGCGGTACAGGGGCCCATGACAGATTACGGCCTGGCAGCAGCATGAGGAGTCGGTACGGGGGCCCATGGCAGATTACGGGCCTGGCAGCAGCAATGGGAGGCCGTAATCTGCCAGCACCCCTATGACAAAATGGAACCCACCAGCAGTGTGAGGAGACCAGGAAAGTGGCACATGGCAAGAGTGTGGCGATGGAGACAGCAGCAATGGGAGGCCGTACAGGGACCCATGACACACTCTGGACCTGGCAGCAGCATGAGGAGGCGGGTACAGGGGCCATGACAATTACGGGCCTGGCAGCAGCATGAGAGTCGGTACGGGGGCCCATGGCAGATTACGGGCCTGGCAGCAGCAATGGGAGGCCCGTAATCTGCCAGCACCCTATGACAAAATGGAACCCACCAGCAGTGTGAGGAGACCTGAAAGTGGCACATGGCAGAGTGTGGCGATGGAGACAGCAGCAATGGGAGGCCGTACAGGGACCCATGACACACTCTGGACCTGGCAGCAGCATGAGGAGGCGGTACAGGGGCCCATGACAGATTACGGCCTGGCAGCAGCATGAGGAGTCGGTGTCTACAGATTACGGGGGCCCATGGCAGATTACGGGCCTGGCAGCAGCAATGGGAGGCCCGTAATCTGTGCCAGCATGCCCCTATGACAAAATGGAACCCACCAGCAGTGTGAGGAGACCTGAAAGTGGCACATGGCAGAGTGTGGCGATGGAGTCAGCAGCAATGGGAGGCCGTACAGGGAGCCCCATGACACACTCTGGACCTGGCAGCAGCAAGATGGGAGGCGGTACAGGGGCCCATGGCAGAGTGGCGAAGCGTAAGCAGCTTAAATTGAAGGCCATACAGAGGCCTATGTTAAAAATAATAACATGTTTGGGCATGATTCATGGCGGATTTAGTCAGTTTTGTCAGGAACTTGTGGTTTGAAATCCAGGCTAATCCACGCCTGATTCATTTTCACAAACGTGAGTTTCTCCACACTTTGGGGTGGACAGTCGTGTCCTCCGCGGAGTTACAATACCTCCTGCCGCACTAAACACGCGCTCGATGCCACGCTACTGGCCGGGCATGACAGCCTTTCAAGGGCAAATTCAGCTAGTTGGGGCCAAAGGTCAAGTTTCGTTGCCCAGTAGTCAAGGGGATTGTCTACCTCGGTTGGCAGGGGTGCTGTCCAAGTAGGCCCAAGCCTGTTGTTTGAGCTCCTGCTCCAGGTCCACCTGATGCTGCTGCTGCTGGCTGCGGCTGGTTAGTAGTTTCCTCACTGCGCTGGTGAAGAAAGCTACTCATCATCGGACTGCAGACTGAGGCAGCCGCTGCTGGTTGAGCTGCCACCTGCTCCTACCACCCACCCCTCCCCTTGCCATGGCAAGCAGGAACTGCGAGCGCACTAAGGGCCCACAGTGTCTGAGGATGGACGTTGGTGCAGGAAAGGCAAAGACCAACTGTCTACATAGGTGGTTTTTATTATAGTACGTTATTTTGCCTCCCTCTCAGCAGGTGTGAAAAAAGGCCACTCATTTTTGAACGGGTAGCGAGGGGACCAACAAGGTGGACAGCCAAAAGTCATCCCACTGTCTGAGGTGGTTATTATTCGGCTGTCGCTTCGCAAGCAAACCGAGCATGCTATGGGCCATTTGTGCCAAGGATGCGAGGGACTCCTGCCTCCATCTCCACAGCATACTGCCACGGTGCGTCTGGGTCCTCTGTCTCCTCCTCCTCCTCTTACCAGATGCTCCTGCTCCTCCATTCCTGTCCGCTGAGTGGAAAAACCACCCATGCAATCACTCAATAATTCCTGAGCCAACCAATGTCCTCTTTTACCTCCTCCTCTTCTTCCTGTCCTGCCCCCACAGGGGTCATGTGGCGTTGAGATCTGTGCGCCACGTCTACCGCACCCTGACAGCCATTGTAACAGCATTTGTGTCCAGGACGTGCAACAGAGGATGACGTCGTTCATCCCATAGTCCTGCCGACTCACGTAATCAAGTCGTGGCCTCCATTCAAAGGGCCTGAGCCAAGAGGCAGGTGTCACGCGAATGAGCTGCCAATGGCTGACATCTAAGTTACACAGGGGAGTACCTTTATCCGCTTGTAACATCAGGAAATCGGTGATGGGCCTTTCGCTGTTCGTAAAGGCGGTTGTCTAACATATGTAGGGTTGAATTCCACCTTGTTGCAACGTCGCAGATCAGGCGATGCTGTGGAATTCCGTTCTGCCGCTGCCGCTCAAGGAGGGGGTGCTTTGCGGTGTAGGAATGGCTGAAATGCATGCAAAGTTTACGTGAACATTTTAAGGATGTCTTGCAGTGGGATGGTGGATTTTAGGAAACCGCTTGACAACCAGATTGAACAGTAGACATGCATGCGCATGTGCACAACCTTCCTTGACGCAGAGCAGACCACATGTTCTTTCCGTTGTCGGTCTCAACATGGTTCCGATTTTCAGTTTGCGCGGAGACAGCCATCCTGTCGATTTCTCTGTTCATTACACTCAGAAGTTCTCCTCCCCTGTGTGACTACGTTTGCCAAAGGCATACCAGGTGCAGCACAGCGTGACACCGTTTGCGCCCTGCACATGTGATATGCGGTCTGGGTAATGGGACTTGGCACGGGGTGGCGGTGAGGACACAGGGCGGAAGAAGAGCGGTGGGTAGAGGCGTGGACATGTTGCTGGACCCAAGGACGTGCAAACGTGGAAGGCAAAAAGCGTCGTGACCTGTCCAAGTTGCTGGTGCGACTGTGCCGGCACCACGTTCATCACCCAGTGGGCCGTGTGTAAATGACATGTACTGTCCCTGACCGTAGTTACAGCTTCCACACGTCGGCGCTGCCGTGGCACTTTGGCGGAGACCGACATGCTCAAGACTGGCCCACCATCTCTTCTACATGTGAATGCAGGGCTGGACTTCACTGCTTTTGGGCGAAGAAATGACGGCTTGGCACTCTCCCACCGCGGCGCGGCACAAGCCATCATTTCTCGGAAAGGTGCTGAGTCCACCAGTTGGAAAGGGAGGGGACTGCAGCACCAGCAACTTGGACAGGAGGACGTTTCAGCTTTTGCACCGTGCGGGTGCGTGCTCGCAAACTGTTGTCTCTTTGGAAACGGATTCCAAGAAAGACTGCTGACGGAATCCGAGAAGAGGAGTAGCAGGAGAAGAGCATCTGAACGAGCGGAAGATGCCAACGAGCGACAACTCCCCCTCAGCAGAGGTGTGTTGGAGCCTTGACTGCTGATAGAGGGCGATTGACGTCGGGTGACGGAGCAAGTAACGGAGCGGGTGATGGAGCGGATTCTGGGGCTGGGGCAGGCAGAACCGCCGTATCTTTATCACGGTTTTCCCAGGCCACCGAATGGTGACGCTGCATATGCTGACGCAACGCTGTAGTCCCAACATGGGCCCCCTGGCCACGCTTGCATATTTCTGGCCACTAGTCGACATACGGCTACGTTTACTTCCTCTCGGGCGGCTTGACGGAGAAAAATTGCACACCACCGAGTAGGAAACTTTGCCCCCGCTACTCCTCACTGGCTGACTGCTACATTTTCCTCCGTGCGCACCGACACCACTACTGGCCGTGGTGGTAGGCTGCAGTGGAGCTGGTGCTCTACTCCGTGGCCGTTTTTGCCTCCCACTGACACTTATTCTGCTTGCCGACCCTGCTTGCCTCCTGGGCAACCCCACCGGACTGTTTCGCTTGCTGCCAAAGCTGGCACCCTCTTCTCCTGATGATGCGGAAGAAAATTACCTGATGACGACGAGGCTGCCAAGTGCGATCAACCTCCTCATCATCAAGTAGGGTCTCCGCCTCACGTACTAGCCCCCTCGGTCTGCGTGTGGGTCAGGAGACAGACCTGTCTCTAGACCGGCTAACGTGCCACTCTCCTCGCCAGTACCTTCTTCGCCTGGCTGCTGAAAAGGCGGATGTCTACCCCCGTTCCTGACCGCCCTCTGTTAGCTCTTCCTCACTGTACAGTTGGGGCTGAGCTCCACAGCATGCGATACTTCGCTTGGTGAGGGAACAGCAAAGGACAGGGGCAGTAGAGGGGACACGTGATTTCAGTGGGCTTGCTCCCAGGCCATGCCAACTAACGGTTGTGTCTGACGTACCCACCGACCGTTGGCTGTAGGTGTCAGAGGTGACCTGGGGAAGAGGAAGACGACCGAGCCAACCAATCGATGACGGCAGGGTTGTCGGTGGAGACACGACCGCTGGATGACACCGGGAGCACTGGCCTCTGGCTGCGAATAGTGCTGCCTCGACCCCTTCCTCTGCTGCCACACGTCTGCTCGCTCCTAAAACATTGCCTCCTCTGCACTCCTCTGCATGTTGTCTGACATACTCTTTAATTCCAAACGATTCTGTTGTCCCTGAGTAACGATTCTGCTGTCCCTGAGTAACAATTATGTGTCTGTCTTCTGAGTAACAATTATGTGGCCTAAGTAACGGTTCTGTGGCCCTCAGTAACAATTCTGTGTTCCTGAGTAACGTTTGTGTGGCCCTAAAGTAATTGGTTCTCGTGGCACCTCAGTAACAATTCTGTGTCCCTGAGTAACAATTCTGTGTCTGTCCCCTGAGTAACAATTCTGTGGCCCTAAGTAACAGTTCTGTGGCCCATCAGTAACAATTCTGTGGTCATCTCAGTAACAATTCTGTGTCTGTCCCTGAGTAACAATTCTGTGGCCCTAAGTAACGTTCTGTGGCCATCGAGTAACAAGTTCTGTGGCCTCTGCGAGTAACAAATTCTGTGTCTGTGTCCCTGCAGTAACGTTTCTGTGGCACCTAAGTAACGCGGTTCTGTTTGCCAATCAGTAACCAATTCTGTGGCCTGAGAGTAACAATTCTGTGTCCCTGAGTAACGTTTCTGTGGCCCTAAGTAACGTTCTGTGGCCCTCAGTAAACAATTCTGTGTCCCTCTGAGTAACAATTCTGTGTCTGTCCCTGAGTAACAATTCTGGTGGCCTATAGTAACGGTTCTGTGGCCCTCAGTAACAATTCTGTGTCCCTGAGTTACACCATTTCTGTGGCCCTAAGTAACGGGGGTTCTGTGGCCGCCCTCAGTATACAATTCTGTGTCCATCAGTAACAATTCTGTGTCTGTCCCTGAGTAAACAATTCTGTGGCCCTAAGTAACGGTTCTGTGGCCCTCAGTAACAATTCTGTGTATTCTAAGTAACATTTTCTGCGGCCCTAAGTAAGGTTCTGTTGGACCTACGAAGGTTAAACAATTACTGTGTCACCATGGAGTGTACAATTATGCTGTCTGTGAGATATGACTAGTAAGCAAATGCACTGTTGGCCCTAAGTAAACAGTTCTTGTGGCCCCAGTAACAATTTTGTGTGCTGTGCCTGAGTAAAAATTCTGTGGCCCTAAGTAAACGGTTCTGTGGCCCTCAGTAACAATTCTGTGTCCCTCAGTA